ACTGTAGGAAAGATGGGAAAATTCGGAGGGTTTTGAGCCATGGAAGACCGGATTTAATATACATTTTAACAGGATCACTTGGATATTGTGTTGAGAAGAAACCGAAATGGGGGCAAGGGAAAGTGCAAGAAAACTAGTGTGGACATTATTGAAGTAATCTAAGCAACAGATGACAATAAAGTAGGGCGATAGCAGTTAAGGGTATGAGAAGTGGTCAGAATCTGGATGTATTTTGAAGGTAGAACCAATGTGATTGGTAAATTGTTGGATATGGGAGAAAAAATATAGGATCAAGAATGCCTATAAGGTTTTGACCTATGCAACTGGAAGAATGGAGCGACATAAAGAGATGAGAAGCCTATGGGAAGAGCAGGTTTTGAGGGAAAAGATCAGGGACTCAACTTTAGCCAGGGTGAATTGCTGTTTTAGTTATCTATTATCATGTAACAAAACACTACAAAAAGTAGTGGCTTAAAACAGCAGTAACTAATTATCATGGTTTCTGTTGGTCAGGAATTAGATAGCGTTTGGCTAAACAGTTCTTCTATAAGATCCCTCATTGAAACTTCCTGGTTTTAGCACTGAAAGTCCTATGTCCTAGGAAAACTATTCAAAGATTAGAAAAGTTCTGGGTTTCGGTGATGGGTGCAGAATTTGAGGGAAGGGGGAGTACACAACCCATACCATGGCAAAAACAAACAAACAACAAACAAACAAACAAAAAACAGGGACTGAAAGCAGTGCTGTGTTTTAGTGTCAAATGGATACAGCATAGACTCTCTGCCCCAGTAGTCACTGACACTGACTTTTCCTCTGACCACTGATGTGTTCACATAAATGGGTCACCCACTTGGCGTAAAGGCCCATGTTTGACTTGGCCTATGGATTGACTGTTGTGCTTTGTATTAAGATTATTGTGGCCACCTTGAATAATCAGGAACCAAATGCTGTTTACATTTCTTTTTCTGTCTAGCTAATGATATGGCCCTAAGGATGAATACTGAGAATAGATTTTTTTAAAAAATGCTAATGTTTAAATGCACTTCAAAAGCCTTTTTAGCATTCAATATTTTTCACAATCTTCTATATTATCCTGGATTCTCCCTAAGAATGCTCTATATTCTTGACAATAGTCTGGAGATAGAGGAGGCTAGGTCTTCAAAAAAAACTGTTGTCACTTTCACCACCCCACTCTATGTTGTATCAAAGCTGAAAACATTTTAATGTGAATCAAAATGTTCTATTTCTAATGCTGGTTTTACTTTAACTGAAATATACTTAGAGCAAAGAAATATAGGAACTCCAAAATGTTTATGATATTTTGATCCACCAGGAAAAGAAACTGCCCTTTGGGTTGGCCAATGAGGTACTTACATCATGGGGGTCACTTCTGAGATTTGAGATGGATAAAAGGTATGTTTTTCTTTTGCAAAGTTAGAGGAGAAGCAGAAAAACTTTAGGAAAGAGTCCATGCAGATGTTGAGGATCTGGTAGCTAATTCCCTTAAACTATTTTCTTCTTGCAAAGTAACCACAGTTTGAAGACCACTGGTGCAGGAGAGAGCATGCAGATGGACTAAGGACATGTGGTGCAAGGATAGGGCAGCACTGATGACCCCCTTGAGGTTAACCATAATGAATTTAAAATGAAACTAGTCATGTGTGTTCCATTAGTCACAGTCTGCTGGGCTGATGCAGGCAAGAAGAAGGTAGAGAACTGGATTTAACCAGGGTTGTAGATTTAACCAAGCAAGTTGGGAGAATTTAAAGATGTGAAAGAAAAGAAATATAATCATAGTGCACTACTACATTCTGTAGTAATACATTTTTTACATAGATTTTAGTTCCTGGCTCATCATATTCTCTAAGACCATTCTGTCTGATGGTCACCTCTCCATCCCTGTTCTCTTTGTTGTGAATTTAGACCTTTTTAATTCTTATATTATCTTAATAAGGGTATTGGGAGAAAGAGGTGATAAACATATGTGCCTAGTTTGTCATCTTGAGCAAAAAAGTTCTCAAATTGCAGTTTAAAAGATCACTCTGGCTCTTAGAGAATGGCTTTGATGAGGAGACAAAAGTTGATATAGTGACATTAGGAGACAGTCACAGTAATCTAAGCAAAGGGTGCTGGTAGAAATGGAAATAGATCAAAGCACATGATATAGAGAGTTATTCAGGACTTAAAATTCACATGACCAGGTTATGGAATGAAAATGGGGAATAAAAAAGAGAGATTTGTCCAGGCTTTTTGCTAATGATTATATTTGCTAAGATAGGGAATACTGAAAGAAGACCACAATTCTGGTGGAAGATCATTAGTATAGTTTTAGCTATTGAGCTTAAAGTATCATTGACATATCCAAGTAAAAGGTCAAGGAGGCACATGCTATATATGTTTAGAGGTGAGGGCAGAGAAGGAGACATATATTAGGGAATTGATGGTATATCGATAGACCATGAGCCAGATGAATAGATGAAATCTCTTAGGAAATGAATACAGAGTAAGGAGTAAGTAATGTATTGTAAAAAAAAAATAGCCACGTATTCCTCTCATCCTGGTTTGCGTAACTCTTTACAATGTGATTTTGTCGCTCCTTTACAATGTGAGTTTGTTGCTCATTAAGAAGTGGACTTTATTTCTCTCACCTCTTAAGTTTGGACCAGCCTTGTGACTTGGTTTGACCAGTAGAATATGGCAAAAGTAATGTTGTGGGAATCTGACTTTAGATATCAAGAGGCCTTGCAGCTTCTGCTCTTGCCCTTGAGACTTTCATGTTAAGAAGCCGAAATTAGCCTTATTGAGGATAAGTGACAATGAAATGGACAGCCATCACTAACCACCATACATGTGGTAAGGTCATTTGAGATTATCTAGGCCTCAGTTTGCCATCAGATAACTTGCATGAGTGACCATGGGCAAGAGCAGCAGAACCCCTCAGCCAGGCCGGACCCAACTTGTTGACCCACAGAATCACGAACAAATGAAATATTTGCTTTTTTTAAGTCACTAGGTTTTGAGATGGTTTGTTATACGTCAATAGACAACTGGTGGAAGGAGCCCAGGAAGGAGTGTTTAGAAACTCCAATATTTAAATATTGGGTAGAAAAATAAAAGTTGGAAAAAAAAAAAAGTGGTTGCCAGAGAGCTAGGAAGAAAAGCAGAAAGTTTTAGTGTCACCGTAACAGGAATTGACCCAAAGAAACCAGGGTGTTTCGAGAATGAGGGAATGCTGACAATGTCAAATATGATTGAAAGGTCAAACAAGATACAATGAAAAGTTCCTTTTGTATGATAATGACATGAAAGTATAATCAGTGACATTTGGGACAGAAGGAAAATTGATAAGCTCAGTTTTAGACAGGTAGTTTGAGATGCCAATGGGATATCTAAGTACATCTGTTCAGCATGTAGTTAGATTATATGAGCTTGAATCTCAGTGGAAAGTTTAGCACCAATGGGCATGTCAGTGATAAAACCATTAGTGTGGACGTGATCCCCAGGGAGATTGGAAAGTGGGAAGGGGAGAGGATCTCGGGGACACACCAAGGTTTTAGAGGGTGAGCACAAGCAGAAAACACCACAAAGAAGCCCATGAATTAGAATTGGGAGAAAGAGATGTACAAAAGCTAAAGGAATAGTGTTTCAAAAAAGGTGTAAGAAGTATGTCAAATGTAGCAGAGAGCTCTAGTAAGGTGAGAACCAGAATGTCCTCCCATTGAATTTGACACCATTTGCCAGGGCAAATGTTTTAGCAGCACTGTGCAGGCAGAACCAGCAAAAGTGGGCTGAGCAATGACTGAAAATTAGAATATGGATGCCGGCATGTAATGAAAATCCATGCAAAGAGAAGACAGAAGGAGGGTACTTTCGAGTGCTAAGTGTTTTTTATTTTTTGATTCATTTTGTTTTGTTTTAAGGCTATGTGACTAAAGCTTGTTTATTAATTGAGGTAGAAGCAGTAAAAGAAAGCCAAAAAAAAGAGGGTTACACTCTAAAGAGGTATTTCTTCCCAACATTTTCTCCTCCAGCTTTCATGAAAAATTCTTCTATTTGTACTTAGTTTTCACAGTATCACCCTTCTTCTCAATATAAAGTTGGTTAAAATTCCCAGATTTGCTTGCTTTGTTCATTACAATTTTAGGTTAGTTGATTCCTAATTAAGGTGGGGAGAAACAGGGTATTTTTCTCACTTGGAGTTATCTTCAGATCACAGAAGAGTTATCTAGTATTCCAAGAGTTCCTAAATGATGCAAAGAAAATAAGTGAAATTCCCTGGTCAAATAAATTTGAGAAAGGTTATACATTAAAAAAATATCCCTCTGAGAGACTGACAAAGTACATTAGCATATTAAAGCCATCTGGGACTTCCTACATTAAACAACAACAACAATAACAAAACCCTGTTTAAAAGTTTACAAACTCATTTTCCCCAGGGAATGATTTTTTCTCTGCAAGTTATTAACATACCAGAAGAATTTCCCCTTGACACCAGTTTAGGAAAGCCCTGATGTAGCAAATTGATTTTACCTATGTTCTGTGGATTGTTAGGTTTTAAATCAAGAAGTTCTCCATCTTATCTCTAGATTAAGGGATTCCTGTTACCTTTGGAACTTGGAGCCCTCCCTAGACTATCTACAGTGAAGAATAGTGATGACACCACCAATTACCTTGGGGACCCTTTTATAATACCAGGGCAGGGGAAATTAACAAAAGATTTGACTGAGGATAAAGATAGTTGAGGAGAGGTCAGCAAGAGACAACACCTTTAGTTAAGGCTAATGAAAATGCCCACTCTATGAAAGGATTGGTAATTTGTTAGAAAACTTTCTAGAAGGATACGAGTTGAAGACAGGATCAAAGCACCTCTTTACTTGTCTGGAGGCAGCAATCAACTAAACTACAACCACTTTAATAAGACATGCAACCAAACTACAGTCACTTTACTAAGACACACAAGATATTTTTGAAATTCTGATGAAATAAAGAATCATGATACGATGCCCATGGAAATGGACGATCGACATTATGGATCGAAAAAGGGAAAATTGTGGAACACAAATATGTCAGTGTGGCAGTATGCTGTCTCCAGCATTAGTCAGAGGACAGTGGATGTCAGGTTGGTCCCAGTATGAACCCTGAAGTGGTGTAGTCTGAATTGGCAGCCAACCTTCCCTTTCCTATCTTATTAAAGTAAAGTGATTGTTTAGGTACAACCAACATTTTTTTAAAAGATTGCTATTTCACATACATCCTCATATTTAAATTCATCCACACATCAAGAATTGGAAGACAGTCATCATCAATGAGGCCTAAAATAACAATGTTTTGGCTCCAGGCTCCCTCTACTGTCTCTGCAATAATAAACAAACATTTTATGGCACTCGACTAATTAGATTCCAGAATTTATGAAAGTCATCACAAACATAGTCTTGAGCAAAAATAAAGGAAATCGTTAGTATGATAATCAGGAAGTTCAATATTTGGAGAAAGTTGAAAAAATTATAAACTAGTTAATGAAATATTTATATAGATAAAATCACATGAAGTTTTCATTTGCCTAATTTAAATCCACAAATGGATATTTCATATGTTTCAACCTTATATATAACTACATAATTGTCAAAAAAAATAGTAGAGTGTGTGTGTGTGCACATGTGTTTGTTGGGGGGGGGGTTATTACTTTTAATAAATAATCTTTATTATGAAAGTCCCTAAGTACATTGGTTAATTTACATGATGTTTCTTGACCAAAATTAACCACAGGTAGATATGTTCAGTTCAGTACCATATAGGAATGTGTATAACTTTGGTTTAGAAGAAAGAATTCTGCCTTCAGGTTAAAAAGTGTGAAGACCCAAAATGTTTCACACAGGAAAGTAAATGAAACATGTAGAAAAGCCATATGTTTACAAGAGGAAAACTAGAAATAAGATAGTTAACATTTTAATGGTGAAAGGAGGAAGTAGGGTAATTTGCATAGACTTCAAACGATCTCACACTATTGAGAAAACCTGCAAATCCTGGAAAGAATTAGAGGTAAAAGCCAAAGTCAATACACTTCAAATGCCCTTGATGTTTCACAGTCACTAATGAGAAAGCATCTTCTGGGTAAGTTCACACTTTGCACAAAATATTAAGTCTGTTGTTGGTAATTTTCCAAAAAGTTAATATTTTACAGTTCAGAATTTTGTTTTCCTTTGAAGCAGAAAAAAATGCTTTTTGAAGTTATGTTTCCATAGTCTTAGGAATTCAGTCTAAGAATGAAAGATGCCATCAAAAATATATTTACAAAGATGTTCATCAAAACCTTATATTTACAGTTACTCTTCACCACTTGTCTCATGCCTAGCATAGCACCTAGTATGTAGTAAGCACTCAATAAATATTCTTGAAGAATGAATTACAAAAGTTGGAAATTCCCAAATTGATGACTGGTTGAATAATTATGGGTAGATTGTGGTTTATACATATTATAGTATATGACCATTAAAATGTTTTGAAGACTTTTTAAATAAAGATACTGGGAAAATGTTAAAATACTGGAAAGAATGTTAAGCAAAAAAAGGATGATAATGTGTATACTATCTAATACAAATCTTATAGATATATATATATGAACACAAAAAGGCTAAAATTACTGATTGAGGGAGTTATTTTTTCTTTGTTTCTCTGTATGTTGCAAATTGTCTATCATGAGTATGTATTACTTTTATAATCAGAAAAACATTAAATGTTATTTAAACATTTTTTATAATGCTCTGCTAACATCCAAATCCATAATAAAAATTTATCCATTAAAAACCATGTAGTTTAATAAAATGTAATTGTTGTAGGGTGATCCAATATTTGTATAAGAGTGTTTGGCTTTTCCCTATCACTTTTTTAAAACAAACCCTCACTAGATAGATACTTTTGGTAATTTATTCAGTGGTCTGAATACACGAACCAGAGCTAAACTGTGCTCTACTTTTGAGTATTATGCCAGTAACTTCTGTACAAAAGTTATAGAGATAGGTGAATTATTTCTAAAGTTATACAAAGATTAATTGTACTGTTTTTCCATCAGAGAGAAAGAAAATCATCATGTGTTCAAATAAGCACTGGGCCAGGCGCTTTATATAAATAATCTTTAATCCTTACAGCTACCCTTTCTTCGAATACATAATATTATAGTAGAAATAGTAATAATAGCTGAGTTATTGATCAATTGTCATGGGCCAGGCTTTGTGTCAGGGGCTTATTTTCTCTCATTTCATGTTTTGAGCTATTGGGGCAAGTAGTGCATATTATACTTCCTTTGCACTTGAAGACCCTGAGGCCCAAGGTGGAAGCCAGATCTAACCCAAGTAATTAACCATTTTCCCCCTTGAAAACACTGCATTCTACAAATGGATTTGATCTTCTGTTGGGGGAAAGAGGTGTAGGAAAAGGAAGCTTAATCAGTTATAGTTGAGGTTTTCTTTCTTTCCTAGGAATAAGGCAATAAGAATAGCCAGTCAGACATTATCCACTTATCAGTACAAAGCAAATTCATCAAAATTAATGTTTTCAAAACATATAATGACTTTACCGGTCAAGAAATATAATGAATTTCCCTTTGCCTTGTTTGAATGAAAGTTCTGCAAACTTCAGACATCCTCCATTTAAGGGCATTCCTATAATAGAGGAGGTCGTAGTTTGCCATGTCATTATCAAACTAGGGATGTAATTGTCAATGACTTCATTGAGTTCTTTAAAAAACTTCCATTCTGGCTTTTTTCCTTTGTCTCTTTCCTTCCATCCATTGTTCCACAGAGATTTAGAGTGAAAAGTGGACAAATGATTAAGAACACTTAAAAATAACTGAATCTCTGTATACTTTGTTCCTGAAATGGCCCAGCTGGTTCTATTTTTATAATAAACAAACAAACAAACAAACAAATAAATAAATAGAATTGAAAATTGCCATTTATTAAGCATCTTCTACATGTCAGAACTTTATACATTTTATGTTATTTGAAGCTCACAACTATCTACAAAGGTACATATTTCCAGAGGGCACCTAACCCCAAAAGTTAAATAGCAATTATGCCTCATATCATGACTACTCAGTGAAATTCGAATCCAGAATTGATTCCAACAAACCGGCTTCCCTCGAAATGCTATTTGCCTAGCAACAAATCGATCCTAGTGACTTCCCCATCTCAAGTAGAGAAAAACAACCAATTCCTTCCTTAGAAGCCAAGTTTGAGAAACAATTAGAATTTTCTAATAGAAATTCTCACCCACCCTCTTCTGTGACCAAAGCGATTATTTAAGCAGTAAAACCTCCCATTGGCCAATGTCAATTTCACCAGGGACTTGGCCTCCGCTGGTGGCAGAGGAGGGTCCCTGGTTCTAATCACGCGAATCTGATTTCTCGGGAAATTAGCGTCCAGAGATTGTTCCAGGAAACCCATAATCTTGAGGCGACCTCAGGTCGAGGGACAAAGTCCTGCAGGGAACATTTTTCATTCACATCTAGAGACAACCCTTTCTCCTAATTCAAGGCTTCTCCTTTTACTCTACAACTTTAAAATACTAACGAAGCCACTCCGCCCTTTTCCCTCTCCCCTCCAAGAATAGGATCAGGTATGCACAACGATACTTCAATCCCCCTCCCTTCTGCCTTTCTCAAAGTAACCGGTGTGCGTGCGGATATGTGTCCGAAGGTGTATGCACCCAGTTCGCGGCGCAGCGTGACCCCCAGAACCGCAGGGCTCTCTCGGATCCGGTTCTCTTGCGGGGCACCTTCTTTGACTCCACGAGCTTGCTCCGCCCCCGCTCCACCCTCCCACTGCCCCTCAGCGGCGCCCCAGGCTCCCCCGGCCTCGGCCCTGCAGCCTGATCC